TAGCGTGAGGAGAACATAACAGGGAGGCACGGTAATTGTGTCACCTGAATGTTGGTAATATTGGACGCCGTGTGTCGGGTGATGACGGCACATCCATCCATCACTGCCCACTCACCTCACCAATTACCTACAATATAGAACTGCCAATACCCTATGTGTTAGATTGTGTACAAAGGAAAGAAGAAAAACTACCGCTGGTCTATTGGTCTACACTTGGCATATTTGTTTACACCCTTATTTTATTTGAACCTCCCCAATGTGGGTATGCAAGCAGTGGTAGAGAGTAAGTTGGTTTGGCCAATAGTAGCCCATGTATTGTTTATTTAGCCAGTATAGTATATGGGGAGAGGAGGGCGTGACCGTGAGTCTGTCCCAACACATCTGAATATATGAGTGTGCTTTAAAGTTCATTTCAGGAGTTCACAATTGACGTGATACTGTTTTTTAGGTTCACACACACACACACACACACACACACACACACACACACACACACATACACACACGCACATACACACACACACAGACATTTCAACAACAGAGTCATGTTATCTTTTCACCACAGAGTTGACGTCTTAGAAAGGCTGTTTTATCATAACACTTCCACAAAACCAGACATCTTGCGTCTACTGTAGCTGTTATCAAGAAGAGCGTGACTCACTGATAAAGAACTCACCCACAGTTTTGATCTCACTACATCCTCACTTGCCCCATGACCTCCTCCTACAGGTCCCCAGCCGTTACCAACACCTCTTCCCTCCCAGACCAGATATCCCTCCTCCTAGTCACAGGCCTGGCATTTGACATTATTAGGGACCTGCCACACTTTGCCATAAACAGATGAAATGTACCGGGAACTTTCCCCCCACACACTCATCATTCTCTCACTTTATGTAACTTGACAGAACCTATGACCCTTCAGGCTTTTACGCCCTTAATGTACGAGTCATAAAGGCAAGTATGAACTTTTCATACTTCCCTGTTGGGCGCTGTAAACGCTTCTGCGCTTCACCTTGCACAGGATGTAAGGGGGTGCCCAATAAACTAGCCCCCTCGGGGGCAAATCTGAATCTGAACCCACAGTTTTGAGTCACCCTTTGGAAGTTATTTTATTCTTAACAGGCAAATTAAGAACCAGATTAATTAAGCTTGAATCTCAGTACAGTTTTGCTGCAGTAATTCAGCCAGTTACATAGATACATGTTAAGGTTGCTAGGAAAATTTATTGTAAGGATATCTGAGAATTTAAACTCAAAGCCTTTTCTCGTAACTCAAGATGGGAGGAGCGTTAATAGTGTGTGTGTGTGAACATATATCCTTGGTATGTTATGTCAACTGTGAACCTTTCAGCTGACAGTCAACTAAACAATGTACAAAACTGATCTCCGGTCTGATATCATAATAACCGGAAGAGATTAAACTTGTGACCATTGTTTTAGCAGCAGTCACCTTAAAGGCTCACAGGTGACATAACGCTAAGGATTTTTGACAAAGTGAACACACCAATAACATACCCTGTACACACACACACACACACACACACACACACACACACACACACACACACACACACACACACTTTGAAGCCCTGTGTATGACCTTAAGCACGGACTTGACTGAGGATAAAGTGAATTATTAAGGTTAGGAGTGTGATATTGGAATTAACACCTGAGGACTGCTATTATTTATAATTTAATTATTTTATTTTTATATGTTTTTATTGTGTGTGTGTGTGTGTGTGTGTGAGAGAATGGTGCTGGACTAGTTAACTGTATCACAAGACTGAGGGGAGGAGACCTGTTGATGCATATGTACCATGACCATAGGACTCGGGTTTTTTTAGTTTAACAAATTTATTGACAAAGCTTGTAGTACAGTTTGCCTATTCTGAGTAATTCAGTCAGGTCTTGACACTGAGGGTGGTATCACTTCTCACTGCCACGCAGGACAGAGGTTCATACACAAAGAAGTACATCATATTCATTAACAGCTGTAAATGTATAGAGGTCAGATTCATATGGGTAATGTCACTGTTCACTGCCATGCAGGACAGAGGTTCGTACACAAAGAGATGCATCATATACATTGACAGTACATATACATATATGTACACACACACATACACATATACATACATATACATATATACATACACATATACATGTACATATATATACACATATGCACACATACATACATACATACATATACGTCGGTCAGATTCATGTGGGTTATGTCACTCTTCACTGCCATACAGGACAGAGGTTCGTACACAAAGAATGCATCATATTCATTGACACTATATATAGGTCAGATTCATGTGGGTAATGCCACTGTTCACTGCCACGCAGGACAGAGGTTCGTACACAGAGAAGGAAATACATCATATTCATTAGCAGTATATATAGGTCAGTGGATCACATACATTGGAGTCATATTCTAATTGAAGACTAATCAGTGTGGGCTAGCAAATTTGGGATAAACAGCAAGAATGTCCAAGCACACCTGATTCAATGAAGTAATTACATAGTTCAAGATACAATAAGTCAGGTGGCCTGAAATCTTTGACAGTGCCACATTCAATAATATAGTGTTCAAGTGTATGCTTTAAAGGTTTATCACAAAGTTTACATGCTGAGTGTTCCGGTATGGGTACAGCGTTACTAACTTGCCAGATGTGTCTGTATCCTAGCCTAATTCTGGCCACGACTACATCACATTGTCTGGTTCTGTCCTTATGCTGGCCATACCGGTACCTCTTGTCACAAAATTTGTCATATTTACTAATGCTACAACTGTCAGGTCTCTCTGCATTTCTCACTTCTTCTAGATCAGAGTTCATGATTCTGACTTGAATGTTTTTAATTACAGCATTGGACAGGCCAGGGTCACGATCAACATTTTCTTTCTTGCATGCCTCATTGGCCAGTCTATCAGCACGGTCATGATACCTGATTCCAACATGGGACGGAATCCACACAAATTCGATACGAAAGTTGTTCTCATTGGCAGTTATCACATTCCTTTTAATATCACATACAACTTTAGACATAGAGCCTGATGGGCTGTTCATTGATTTCAAAGCACTTTGAGAGTCACAGAACATCACCCCACCTCCATTTTCTTTGAGGTTGTCTGTGGCTAAGTAGATTCCAGTTAGTTCAGTTTGTGTTGTGCTGGCCTAGTTGTTCAGCCTTTGTTTGTTTGACACTATCATCTCTTTTTCTTTATATATTACAATTGCACAGCCTGTTCTACCTGTGTTTGTCTGCACAGAACCACCAGTAAAAGCATAACATTCACTTGATTTAATACTCTCTATGTGTCTGTTAATAGTTTCTAGTGTGACACATCTCACCACATTGGTGTTTAACATTTGCTTACTACCAACAGGAGTGTAATTAATAGGGACTGATATATCCAGCCAAGGAGGAATGGCATTAATAGGTTCGTCTGGGGTGATTGGGACATTCAGTTTCAAGAGATCTGCAACACTTTCATGAAGCCACGCCCCAAAGAGAGTCTTTTGTGGAAGGTTGGCGAGATGGCCGGGATTACTTAGATAGAACATCAACTCAGTTTGAGCTGTAGTTTGAGAACCATTGTTCTTCAAAACTTTGACACAAAACATGGTATTAAGTAGAGCTATCCTCTCAGATAGGGAGGGCAGTCCGAGCTCTTTCCTCATGTTTACAATTAAGCTTAATCCGGCCCTGTATGTAATGATAGAATCACATGAAAATTAGCCCCCCTCCCCAGCTTATTTCACCTTTTGATTTAACACCTTAATCTTACCTGCCGGGGGGAGGGGGGGGAGGATACGTTGTAATAAGATGTTATCCCCAGAATTATACTTGGGACTTATCCTTCATTTAAAAATCTGATAACTCCTCGCCCTTTATCGCTAAGCAAAGTTTCAGGTTGATATTCCGGATTGTTTGGCATTATTAATGTAAAATCCAGTCTAAGTTCTCTCACTCACAGGCATGAGCAACAAGGCCATGGCATTAGTGCTGTGCTTCTTCAGTCTACAAGACTAAAAATGGTCATACCTTAATAAGTGTCATGATGTACTTATTTAGCGGTCGACAAACTCTCTGGTTTAGAAGTACAGTATTTTATATGTTTAATTTATATTGTTATAGGCTCAACGGTTCGTGTTTCATCTGTTATTTGCATTTGTCCTTTAATTATTTGTTTCTATCTATCGACACGACGGTGGCTACACAAATAAAAAATATACAGAAGCCTAGGAAGTAAGATACCTCATGTCAAGTGTTTTAAAACCCATGTACACACAATAAGGATAGTGTGAGTTCAGAGTAAAATACAGTAATACTGTAAAATACAGTAATACTGTATTTAACAGTATTTCCTGTGACCGACTAGGAGACGACACCCAAGTTTACTGCTAATTTCAGTGGGCATGTAAATTTTTATTTATAATAAGTAATATGTACTGTATGTTAGTTGATAGATGGGTAAATAGTACAAATAAACAATTAAAATGCACATTTTAAAACGTAAATAAACAAATAAAGTGAGTTGCCAGTTGGTAATATCGGCGCGAATTTTGAGCGCCTGAGCACCGTTCATTCTCAAGGAAAACATGTTTTTGTTAACCTAACATTATTGAATGTATGTAAACCCTGACGAAACAAACAGTACCGATACGTCACATGGAAAGTGGACCAAACATGTACCCTATACACTTGATGTGAAAAGTCAGCCATGTGTCTGTGTGTGAGTAATTAAAGCTCATAATAACTAACTGGCTGTTGGTGTGTGAGTGATCATGCTCACCCGCATTCTTGAATGGTATTACTCCGCCGTCATTGTTTCTTTTGCATATAGAAAGGATCTTTTGATTTTATTAACATATAATATAAAAATACTAGTAAATTAAATGTTTTTATTGGTTTTATTAAGGTATTTGTTGTCTATATGTGAATATAAGATATAAGATGGGAACTAGTTGAGGGAGGCGGGCCCGGGGTGCAGCGCGCCGTGTTGTGCTGGGAAAGTGAAAATGGTGGTGGTGGACGTGACGCGCTGCGCTAGCATGTTGCTTAAATCGTGAAACCAAGCCGCCGCAATGTGTCTGTGGTGATGTGAAGTGCAATGGTGTGAGGTGCATATGTCGGTGAACACGTAGAATAGTGATAATACACAATGGGGAACTGTTTTAGTAGTAACAGAGGCCCGGGGAAAAAAGAAACGACCTCTGACAGTCGGAGTATCCCCCCGCCTAACAACATTTTCACCGAACAGGTACGTTGTTCAGCCTCCTGCTGCCTGTCTGTTGACCTGCGACTAGCTTTTAACCAGTGATGGTCATTGTTGCTGTTAGTCAGTGTTGTGGTGTGGGATGATTAGTAAGTAACGGGAGCGTGAGGTAGGAAGAGGAGGTCCACGCCCTGCCACCCTCCCGTAGGCCTAGATGGACCGTCCCGGCCTGACGTGGATAGGCCTTGAAGGATGGTTTACCCGTGGTTGACATGAGTTTAGGAGGGTCAGAGTCACGTGTGGAGTGGAGGTGTTCCTTGGACACGTCTACACTAAGTTGTCACTTGTTTTTCCCTAGTGTTTACACTATGACAGCAATAACTCAGCAAAATTTGTTTTAGTGAAAAGTATTTTGTTTAAATGCTATTTTTTGAAAACAAGTTATAATTCATAAGTGTATGTACAGTAATGCCCCGAGTGAGAAGCTTACATGAAAGTTTTAATGAGGAGCACTTTTCTCTGTGTTGTGGTTCACATCTACTGTACAGTATTTGATATGTTTTTAAAGCTGCACAACTTTGAATCTGCTGTGCTGTTTGAAATGTCACAACTGTGAAAGCATATTAAAATGTAACTATTTTGAAGTGAGTGAACTGCTGAGCACATTTTATGTATTAGAGTAATGTTCCCGTGAGAGTTCAAAATAATAAAAATCATTATTATGGTTTTAGAATTTAAAATCAATCAATAAATAACATGGTACTTACTCTACGGTACAGTTTGAAATTGGCCCTAGAATGAGTCAATGTTGTTCCCTTTGTCATTGAAAAATAATTTGTGAAGCTGAGAGAGATATTCTTAAGTCAATTCTATTTTCATGCCATTGAAGTTTATTGTGTGACCTTAACAATTTTGTCCAATGTGGTATTTGCCTTGCTGATATATTGATGGCATTTTGTCAGACTTCTCTTAGGTGTGTAGGTTAGGGTCATCTTTTACCCCAAAAAGACAATTCGTACCCAAGATAACTCTTACCCAACTCCCGAGATAATTCGTACCCAAGATGACTTGCACCCAATTCAAGAGATAATCCATACCTATTAGTATATATACCATGCATTAATTTTAGTTTTATCTATGATTTAAAAAAAAGATCATGTAAATCTTGTAGGAAAGTGCAGTGAAATAGGGAAATGTAATGCAGTGCTTTAAAATGGTTGCATCTCATTACATAAGCTATGATATTCCGTCACACAAACATTGCACTACGAGTACATATTTCACACTATTTTTTTTTTTTTATTTATTGGGCACTCCCCTACATCCTTGTGTAAGGTGAAGCGCAGAAGCGTTTACAGTGCCCAACAGGGAAGCATGCTAAGTTCATGCTTGCCTTTATGTCTCATGAGTTAAGGGCGTAGAAGCATGAAGAGTCAAGGGCATAGAAGCCCGAAGAGTCAGTGTTTTTTTTTTATGTCATCTAGTTATTGGAAGCTCCAACAACTCCCTGAATACGAATTCGCAACTTTCGACTTACAACAGGTACCTACTTTACTGCTAGGTGAACAGGGACTAATGGGGGCTAGGAAGTAAGTCCAAACAACTTCCACCGGCCCGGGAATCGAACCCGTGGCATCTCGCTTGCGAGGCAAGAACGGTACCGCTTCTACCACCGATCAAGAAGGCTACTGTGGAGTCGGGATTTGTGATGAAATTTTTATCAAAAAGTTAGAGAAGCTGGAAGGATACCATATTGGTATGTGCACTTTAATGTACTGTATATTGTACAATTTAAAAGTAATTGCTTGGATTTAATACGCTATTAAAAAGTGTAGTACATACTGTATAATTTCAAAACTGCATTACCAATTTAATACCCAGGACAAACAGTAATCAATTGACAGTTTTTAAACTTGGTACTGTAGTTTGAAAACAAGTACAGTACAGGTATACAGTATTTCCCTAATAGAGTATGGTATATACTGTACTACTAGTTGTACATTACTACACTCTCGAACTGTCAATCATGTTCTGATTTGATGATATAAACAAATATTTGTTGTTTTTGTACAGTCCATATTCTATTAAGTACATATATTGGCATTTGTTTTGATTACTGATTAGACCAAAGTTTTCTTTGTGTAGCTACAGTACTGTACTGGCACTGTACTGTATTAATACAGGTTACTGTACATGGTTGCTCTAAACAGAGGAACAACAATTGGATGTTTATATTATGACATTTTATTCGGACAAGAGTTACTCTGCTATTTAATGGCACAGTTGCCACATAAATAAAACTTTGGGGTTAGAGTTGAGTGGTTCATTTTGTCTCTTGTCACTTTAATGATGGTCCCAGAAACTTTGCCATACTCTTCTCTTCACCTTCTCTTCTCTCCTCTCCTCTCCTCTCCTCTCTGGAAAACTGCAGTATTTAGGTCAGGTTAAGTAAGGTTGAATCAAAATGAGTCTTTTCTGTCAGTCTCACAAGGTAAAAACAAATTAAGAGTTTATTTTCCTGCAAACACAAAGAAATGTTACATTTCTTGTGGTTGTTTTGGCTGATGATTACACCGTGCACCTAAACCAATCTAGAGTATTTCACACGGAGATGGGAAGTGATGTCATGCAAAGTTAACCCATTAGAACATTCCCATGGCAGTGATATACAGTAATTTAAACCAAATAGAATGTTGGATAAATATAAGAAGTTCATGGTTGAACATCACTGTCAAAGCTGTATAAAGGGGCTCTGTGCAGTGTTGAACGATTGCTATGAAGAGATATGCTTTTGCAGCTGAGAGACTGTTGCTACTTCCCGTTTATAGACTCGTGAAAAAATGTACTGTACTGAGTTGTCTTGTTGGCAATAGGAAGCATCATAATTTTTCTGCATACTGTACAAAATTTAAAAACGGTTTCCATTCCAGAATTAATTACTGTTTATAGGTGTGGGATAGATATGTGGAATGCATTTCATGGGGCGATATTGAAATGCATTCGGGTACAACTAAACTGTCAAGAGAATCCTACAATATGAAATTTCTACTGTAGACATTGTAGTAAATTCTTGATTGGTGGATAGGCCTACAGTAGTTATATAGCCAAGTTCTAATCTAGAGGACTGAAAATCTTGTTACATCATTGGTACTGTATTAGCATTACAATATACTGTAGTTAGGCATTTAGCTGCTGTTTGGCAGTACAGTATAGTAACTTTGAAAAATTATTAATGTCACTTTCAATTAAGAGCTACTTAGATAAGAAATTATTAGAATTTGTTAAGATTTACCAACAGCATTTCAAATTTTTTTGCATGTTAGCTCATTTTACTCAGAAAGTACAGTACCTGGTATATAAAAACATTTTGCCCACCACTGTGACTTGAACTTGTAACCCTCGGTGCTCTGCTATTAAGACAGAAAGGTACTTAGTGAATACCTAAGTCAATAATTTTTTGTTAATGTGTAGAACGAGTAGGAGTGCTGTGTTAAAGGGAAACATGGGAACCAGGCAGTTATTCCAACAATATTAAAAGATCATACCCCCGGTAATTCATTGCTATTTTGAAGGTATTGTATTGTACTGTACTGGTACTTAAAAACAGTATGTTGATGCTTGTACTGTACCCTACTATATTGTTGAGGTGATAAAAGCCTTGAAACAATGTTGTTTGGCCGCAGCATTTTGGACCCATAACTTACAGCTGGCAGTGGCATTCAAGAATTTATACCCTGTACATATTGGCCATGACATTTTCATTGTTCATGGTAGAGTACAGAACTTAAATTCTTATGGATAATGTGCACTTAAGGTAAAAATATTTATTGAAACATCCTAAATAAAGGAATACTGGTACTGTACCGGGTGATGCTAAGCATTAATCTGCAATAATTTTTATAATGTGATGATTGGAAATTATTCACACAACTTGATACTTCTGTATAACAAGAAATTTCTCTACACATAATTTAACATAACCCTTGTCTTGTGGTAACGGTCCTTTACAGTATAATACGTTATTTTGAATTGAAAAAACAATTATACTGTATACATGTATTGTAACAATGGGCATGAAAGCAGAGGCCCAAACATGATCAATCTTTTATTATTTAAGTATATTTTACTCACGTCTTATAAATTAACCTCTTACAACAAATTTATTTAGTTCTCCAGCTGAATATTTTGCACTGTTTACCATTGAGATATACTGGCATGTATAATAGGGGTACCGTAACTGAATTGACAAATTACAGTACATGTGAATTGTAGATACAGGTAAAGTGAAGAATGATTGTACTCTGTAATACAGTATGGTAGTATCACTTTTCTTTTTTCTTTGCAGGTCCAATCACCACCACTGACTGGGCCCACGATTAGTGATCCAAGCGGTGTCACAAGGGGTACCACAGACAATCAGGCCCTCGGTGGCCGGCCTATGAATGGCCTAAACCCAACCTTACCTTCACTGCCAGACCCTGAGGGAACTGCAGCTACATCTAAAATATTTGTGGCACTCTATGACTATGATGCTAGAACAGATGAGGACTTGAGTTTCCGCAAGGGAGAACATTTAGAGATTCTTAATGATACACAAGGTGACTGGTGGTTTGCAAGATCTAAAGCCACCAAACAGGATGGATATATTCCCTCCAACTATGTAGCCAAGTTAAAAAGTATAGAAGCTGAACCGTAAGTACTATACCTATTGAGTTGTGTAGTATGGATGAGAAGTTTGTGATGTTTAAATCCATGAGGTTTGTCTTTTGACCTGGATGTGTCAAACACTCACAGGAGGCATAACCTACTGGCAGTTTTAGAGGAAATTGTATGGACAAAATTCTACCCTTCTACTGGTCCTATGGCATTCTCAGACATACAGTATGGTTAGGAGTCCCAAATGCATTTACAGGTATTAAAAAAAAAATTGGATTTTGACCTAAGAATAAAGTTTTACAACTGTATAAAATGAAAATAGAAATTTTCAAATGGTGTTTTTTTTTCAGGTGGGTCTGTTATCTGGGAGAAATATAAGTTTAGGTACTGTACTATGTGCTGTATTGTGGTTATGGCCTAAAATTTTTGTGGGTGTCACCATTTTAATAGTAAGGCTTACAGTATATTGTGGAGATGTTGAAGTTGTTGTATGAAAATTAAGCTTCCTGGATTGTTCCAGTATAAAAGTAATTGCTAGTTTCCTTTATGAATTTGAAAATAGGACAGCATATTTTGTCTTATTGTAAATAGGAAATAGAATTACAGCTTGAACATTTATATACAGTACCTCCTCTGTGACAAGCCTGGTGGGTTTGAGAAGTAGTACCTGTACTGTACTGAAATCAAGATTATTTCAGGCTCACTGTATGATAACAGTATACTGTACAGGTATGGGTATATGCATTTTCAAAGATAATGACATGTTTGGTTCTTGTAACATATGTGAAAAGGTGAGGTTGAATTATCTTCATAAAACCTAATTTTTAATTTTGATTGGCCAAAGATCAAGATTAGTTATTCTGACATGAATAGAATTAAAAAAATGAACAAGGGCAACAAAAATATTTTGACTTGGCCAGTAAGCCTTTTTTTTAATGATTACGCTTGAGATGGTTTCTCCTGGTTTCTAACTTATTAGTTAATCATTGAAGTAAAAATAAAACCGTAGCTACTGAAAATTGATTCAAAATTTCCCAGAAACAGGTGTGACATCTGAGATGATGTCATGATTTATATACGAGGTCTGTCCGGAAAGTATCCAGCCATTTACTATTAAAAAAAATATTGCTTACCTAGGACAATGGCGCCTTAGTCCCCTTCAAAGTATTCCCCTTGGAACCTCACACACTTCTCCCAGCGTCTGCAAAGTCCTCTTTCGGGATCTTCATCAGCTGCCTCGTCGCATTCTCCTTAATCTCGTCCACGGTCTGAAATCTCCCCCCTTTCAACTGCGATTTTAGCTTTGAGAAAAGCCAGAAGTCGCAGGGAGCCAAATCTGGGCTGTAGGGGGGCTGAGAGACCTGGATGATGCGATGTTTTGCCAAAAAAAAAAACCTGCACGAGACGTGAAGAATGGGCAGGCGCGTTGTCATGATGAAGCTGCCAGTCACCACTTGCCCACAGCTGCGGTCGTTTTCTTCTTAACGCATCCCTGAGCCAGCTAAGAACTTCGATATAGTACTCCTTCGTTATTGTTTGGTCATTGTAAATGCGATTGTCACACAGTACTCACACTCACTCAACGGCGTCTGCCGGTCAACTGAATTGTCCCACGGGAGTGTGGCTGTTCATGCTTGCACAGTACAGTCCTCTCTTGAGTGGCTGCCAAGTTACATCAAGGCTGTGCGACCAGTTCTCACAATATTCACAATGGCTGGATAATTTCTGGACAGACCTCGTATATACACACACACACACCGTATTTCTCGGTGTATAAGCCGACCCCCAAACTCGACTCATTATGATCATTACCGTTACGAGCGGTTTGACATTCGATACTGGACTGACCCTTCTTCATAGTCGACCTCTTATCTGTTTACCACATTCTCTCCACTTGGCATTTTCCATATCTATGAGGTGGTTGTCTTTAAACCTTATGGTAAATGGCCCCACCCGCAAAACAAATGAACTACGACGCATCGTTCAAGTTAAAAGTTGGTTTGAGCAATGTGTGTGATCACTGAAGAACAGGGTGAATACATTGGCTGGATCACTGAATCAGAAAAGCTGTACATAGTTTATAGAAGTTGTAGCTTGGCCAGGTGTGGAGGATATGATGAATTAAATGTTGGTGGCAGATTATATTACTTTAGTAGACTCATTATGGGGTGAGAGCAGGAGTTGTGGAGAGATGAGCTGCATTTGTGGAGGGATGGTCTCTAGATGGTCTCTGTTTTTTGAGGAATTATGGAGATGTGAAGATAGGGTATACATTAACTGAAATGTTTTTATAAGATTTAATGAACTGAACAAATGATTTGTGGAATGTTCTTAGGAGGGTTTGTGAAGAGATGAACATGGGGTTTATGGAGAGGGGATGTGAGAATAGTATTCATTCAGTCTGAGAACATTATTGAAGGAGCTGTTGGAAACGAAGGGTTACATTATTATGGAAGTTGATTTAGAAAAGCTACTTGTAGGAAGTAATAAAAAAAATCTGGTATTCTTAAGCAAATTAATAATGAACAGAAGAGTTGGAATGATTCTGATGTACAGTAGCTACTAAGAGAATGATTAAGGAAATGATTCTATTTATCCAAAATAGGCAGGTGGTAGAGTAAGAGTACTGTATAAGCTTCGGGGGAAAGAAAGAACTAAGGTGTATTGTGATCCTTTTTGACATATGACAGTTAAGCCATGTGTCCTAAAATTTAAGTCTACAAATTGTACCTAAAGGCTGACCTGCTGTTAACAAAAGGAGTAGAACTAGTGAGATGTACGAGTATTAACAGTTTGGAATGTTGTGAAGACTGAAGATATGAATTGTGGAATGGTAAAAAGGATGAAGAGAGATGCTGTGAGAAGTTACATACATGGGTGAAGGGTGGTAGAGAGGATTTAAATAAAGGTGATGTAGTGGATGTGTGAGGTAGAGGGAGACAGCATATGTCATGGGAGTGAAGCATCAGAATAAGATAGATACAGTATTATACAGGAAAATATTGTCAGGTATAATAATAGAGGGAGAGGGGGTGTACCGGTAAGTGGTTGACTTGCTGCAGGAATATAGTAAGTAAAAGTGGTGCTTTGGAGTATGAGTCAGCAGTAACCAAGTTCATGTTCAGGAGAGTGGTAATGTATTTCATAAGCTTAAGTAATAAAAAATTATAGCTTTTTCTGAATTTCAGTGTTGTACTGGTACCTGAAACTAATGTTTCAATCTTAAACTGTTGCCAGAGAGTTACATTGATTGATTTACACTTTAAGTTTTACACCATTACCATTAGTTTTACTCTACTTTCATTGTTCACCACTTGGAGGCATATACAGCTACCAGTTTTGACTTCTAAGCTCATGCACTATTTCTTACTCAAACTAGTTACTGTACTGGTGAATATATTTACTTGTGTGTGCCCATATATATATATATATATATATATCTTGATAAAATCACACGGGAAAAGGGAAACAACGGAGGTGCTCAGTTGTTTCCCTTTTCCCATGTGATTTTATCAATATATATATATATATAGATAGATAGATATCTAGCTAGCTAGCTAGCTAGCTAGCTTTAGGGAAATAACTTCTAGGTTCTGCTGTAAGATAATTAAAACACATATCTTGTTTTCTGGCATTTTGACTTATTTTCAGAATGAATATTTGACTAACTTGTATAGTTACTGTGTGTGCTTTTATGTACAATATCTTGTGCAGCTGTACCAGTTCCCCATGGTCTTCTTGATTATCCATATTTTAATGCATTTACAGTAACTAGCTGTAAGATTACTTTTGATGTTGCAATAATTGTTCTTAGTTTTGTATACACATTGATATCAGTTCTCTTGGCAGAGTACAGTACAGTATGTCTCTTAATGGGTTTTACTCTTGCATTTAGGTACAGTAAAAATATGGACCTCGGCTTCATCTTTTAGTAGTTTCTCCTACTTGTTCGGTACACTCCACAAGCCTAACCACATGTCACTTTCTTTGGCTCCTCTAATATTCCTGTTCTCTAGCTCTACTAGATTGTATTAGATTAGCTGGCTAGAAATTGTATACAGTACATACTTGAAAATAAACATGGAAGAAAGGGAATCCAAATGGAATAATAAGAATGAGAAGACATTATACATTAACTTTGGCTTATAAAGCATTTTCATATACAGTGCTAATGTAATGCAGTACAGTTATTAGCGATGGATCAAAGGATACTGTACATTCCATATACGGTACAGTAATTCCCCAAAAAGACAGGAATTATTAGTTGAGAGCAGTACAAGACATATGTATAAAGTGACAGGATATTGCAAAGATAACGTGTAGAAAAAATACACATATTGCACTAACTCGTATCTTCAGCTTGTTTGAGCAGAACTCTCAAGATGAGCAATAGTTTATTACCTGTATTGCTGTATTTAGTACTGAAAGGGGTATGTGGTTGATGGATGTGGGCACTGTTACCAGATAGTCTAGTGGAAACACTATATCTTTAATGATATCGTGGGCATACTCTTCTGTTTGGTTTGTCATTGTTATCATTTGAACATGAGTGTCATGACTTCATGCAATGAATTTGTTTTAATCTTAGGTGTAGTTTTTATGATTCAGAAATCTCGCACATTGTAACTGACATACAGTATTACCCATACTGAGGTGCAGTACTGTACTGTATTTGCTATGTGAATGAATTTGATGTAATGACAATCTGAAAATTGTCATTTTATTTGTCATATATGGTAATATTCATTTAAGGGTTCCTAAGGACAATATTACTACTTGCAGTTGCAGTATGTGTAAATAGCTGTGTGGACTGTTCATTGAGTGTGTTTAAAAGTTTCAGTGAAATTTTCATGTGTAAAAGATTGTTAATGGCATCTGTTCTGGTGGTTTTATTGTACAGTTTGTGGTACAGTGTTGCATATGATAAGTCACACAATACAGTTACCGTAATGTACAGTACAGTATTACACTAAACGCATAATAATGCTGTACTTCCAGTACTGTATTATAATTCTTATAATTTTTTTTACCTATCGTCTACATCAGATTACCAGTACAGTATTTATGACATGGGTATCCTTATATGCAAATTTTCATTGTATAATATCTCGTGTAAGCAGTAGATTGCTGCTTCACATGAGAGATGACTTAATTTTCTTCCTGAATGATAGTGACATATTATGTCAAGTGATCATGTATTTATGGAACACATGGATATATTTTGACCACTTTTGTTCCATTAGGCCACTTTTTTGTAACCTAACTTAACTAGGTACTATTTACGTTCATTGTAATAATCTGTAGTACTGTATACAGTAAGCTGATTTATTAAGTGATGTGTAAAGCAACCAGGTAGAAATAATGAACAATGATTTCCAAAATCAGTGAAACAACTTGCGTGAAAGCTGGTGGCACATGTGACTGTTAGTCACTTGGAATTGGTCATTTGAAGTGTTGAGAGGATGTTATTGATAGTTGGGCCCATCAAAATTGGTTTATCGGTTTGTTACATGCACTGCCTTTTAAGATGATTCCCATTACAGACTCCTCAAATTATTGTCTAATCTTCCTCAGAGATAACCGACTTATAACCCTTGAGAGTTAACTCTCTTCGCTTTTCATAAGTATTCCTGAAGATGTTTACATACAGGTATTTTCCTCGTGTATCAGAGTTGCATCACTCTCTGGGAACACTTTTAATTTTACTGTATCACCCAGTCTCTGATAAATTATTATATGTCTGTCCAGCTCCAATATATCATGTGCTTGATGAGTTACCAGTTCTGACAATTCTGTTATACTGTACCTAACTTATGATTATCTCGTAGCTATTTCATACTTTTATGGTTTTCAGAGGATCCATTCCACTTTAAATCTGAAGACATATATGAGGTCCCAGTTATCAATAGTGAGGTTGGGAAGTATGGTAGTTCTCTTTTACAGTACTAAGATCTAGATTAGTATATGTTCCAAGATTGACCAGTGATCCAAAGTGTTTGTGATTAAGGTGGTATATGCATCTTGTAATCAACCTATACAGTACTCTTAATTCCTTAAGGACCACTGTCTAACTGAAATAAAAAATCTTCAATACCTGTATTACATTACAGTGCTGGCACATTTTAAGATAGCATTTGGTATCTTGACATAGGAATGAGCCTGTATTGTATACTGCTTATCCTCATGCTCAAACAATCCTAGCTTACTAGTGGGTATAGCGAAGAGTTGGCAAAATTATAATAGGTATCAAAATGGTAGATGAGTTGTCTCAAATCTTTAAAGTGTATCAAAAGGTCATTAAGGTGAGGTTTAATGAGCTAAAATTCATTAATTATCAACAATGCCAAAATTATTGTAATCTAGCTACTTGTGGGGGTCAACATTACCACTATACCACCAGGATACTAAAAGCAGTCCTAGACTCTGTTATATTTCACACAAAGCCTGTTCAACGAGCTTAAAGAATCGTTCATTTAAGGATGTTAAAGTAATTTAGATATTCTTTAAGTGTCCTTGAGCGAATTAACCACAAGCCAATACAGTAGTGTGGTTACCTGGAGTTGTTTTATCCCTCCCTGCTCATGCACACCATATACATAACAATACAGTTTCGGCAGATGCTAGGAGTATTGAGTTGGGAATATTGGTTTGTCTTGGTCATGTGAAGACTCGATTCACAAATGCCCAACTGTCATTTTAGATACTCTAAGCCAAATAGACAGATGTTATTGTCTCAAAAATAAGCTTTGACATTGCTGTGGGCTTGGTTCTGATAGAACACTAAACTTAGTTGATAGCCAAAAAGAGCTTTTCTTGCATATTTTTTAACATTTATTACTAGGCAGTACTGTATAAGTATATTTGTCATAAAGATTAGACACTCAATGTTTTATTTAAAGTTGCAAAAAAGCATTAAGTATTGATTAATAGTTTGTTCTGTCATACTCATAGTAATGTACCAGTAATCATTTGTGATTGCAGAAGTCATATGCTGTCAATAATCAGTACTATTGCATGTGATGAATGTATTACTGTACAATACAGTATATTAATTTTGTATAGCTACTTGTCATGCAAAATAGTAAATGTATATACTGTACCATCTGTATAAATTTGATGTAATTTTTATATGTACTCTGTATTAAGTAATCAGGGTTACGTACTGTGTGTGTATGAGTTTATTCATTTCGTCGTGCCAAAATATAGAATATTCATCATTTTAATATACTTTATACATGTGTCTACTGTATTTTTCAGATGGTATTTTGGGAAGATCAAAAGAATAGAAGCAGAGAAGAAGTTATTATTACCTGAAAATGAACATGGCGCCTTCTTGATACGTGATTCTGAAAGCAGAAGAAATGACTACTCCTTATCTGGTAAGGATGGGATGTCATGTGGTACTGGTACATAGGAAAGAGTTGAAAAGAAGGTTGCCTATTATGATTCATAGACATTCAAGTTATAAAGTGTACATCTTAATACATGTTTGTAGATTAACCCTCTTCAGATACACTGTACAGTGCAGTGCAGTACTGTATTACACCATGTTAACCCTCATCATTGCTGCTCTTCCCTGTGGGTGTCCTCTCCCACAAGTAATTTTTTTTTATGTAAGAGAAGGACAGAGAATGTGTGTGCTTATTTCTGCTGGAGTTTCTTATAATTTTCTTGTAAATCATTTTCCATTGAATGGCGCCTTACAACTTTGTCCTGAACAGTACGTGATGGGGACACAGTTAAACACTACCGGATACGGCAACTAGATGAAGGAGGGTTCTTTATTGCTCGTAGGACCACCTTCAGAACACTACAAGAACTTGTAGAACACTATAGTAAAGATGCAGATGGTCTCTGTGTCAACCTCAGAAAGCCGTGCATCCAGGTTAGTTTTATGATATACAGGGTGCTTACAACCTTATTTCTATTGTGTAATATTACTTATTGCAGGTAACACTTGTTGGGTCACCATGAGTAATTAATATAAGTGTGTATTTAGGAAGTGTTTATGGAAGAATGTGCTTGGACGACTATGTTTTATAATGTAAGAATAGCCTTACACAAGTAAATCACATTGAAGGGACGTGAAGGATTGCGTTGTAAGGTGTAAGACCTTGAAAGAGAATGTTAAGTGCCACCCTGCTTGATAATGAGAAATGGTTTAATTAAGGTAGATTGATGATTGATAGAATGTTTTAAGTATTCTACAGTTCCAAATATAGATAGATTTACGAGTAGTTAATTAGTAGAATATTTTACATATTCTTTGATAGCAATGGAAATGATGAGAAGGAAAAAATTTAGCCAAAAGTAAAAGTAAACAACTGTAGGAAAGCTCTACATAAGTGATTGTGTTGGAAGGAATGGTTCATTATGAGCTTGAAGTGATTAGAGAGGTACTTGAGGACTAATACAGAGATACAGGGTATTGTTAGACACAGGGTGATGTAGGGTGATGTTTGTAGCCTTGTACAGGGTATTTATTTATATGCAAGCTCTTTCGCGTTAAATCTAGTTCACTGTGATTTCCTCTGGTGTCTTTTCAGGCTAGAGAAATTTAGTGTAAACAAGTCTGATTTTTTGTAGCTACTGTATCTGTACAAACATTTTGGCATTAGTGTCCCACTCCCATGTTTGTATTATGAATTGCAACTGTACAGGTGAGGAGTGGTATACTGTACCATGCTCTTATGTTTTAGTGTATACTGTGGCACCATGGCCATAGTATTAACTAAATTCATCTTGGCAAATGTATTGATGGATATGGAAAGAAGACTGGAAAGGTTCAGTATAAGTAGAAGTTAGGAAAAATTAATAGAGCTCAGTGACACTGGATGGAAAAGAGTGGTATTTTTCTGGATTTTGTTAAGTTTCAGACATGTAGCAGATCACCAGGAATTTGTTAAAGAGGAAAAAAGCGAAAGAGAATGGCAGGAGAAAAGACTTCGGTGTTTGTATATTGTGAGTGAGGTCAGCAGTCTACCATCTGACATCGTATGTTAATTTTTCATAGAAAATTATTAAAATTAATTTAAAAAGTATCTGGCTATGGATGTACTAACTTATAAACATAAAAATTGTTTTTACTTACTGAGACAGTTTGCTTATGGTGCTTCTGTTGTCACTGAATTTTTTGGTCTCGTAGATGTTTTTTTAGGTACTGTACTTAAACACTATCCCTGTACCACAGTTTAGAATAGTTTGTATCTGATAGTTTTTCATTTTTAGGTGTGTTATCTCCTCTCTTATGTTACCATTTCCCACATTAAGAGCAGGGTGGTGCAAGCATTTTGGCTTTTGACCATTCCCAACATAGTGCTTGCAACATCATTGGATTTTACCCATTAGATTGATCATTAGGTAAAGTGGCCAGCAGTTGATTTCAACATTAAATAACAAGAATGAATGATGTGAATGAAGTATACACAAGGAAGGAGAAGGGGAAAGGTTGGTAGTACCTGTACCATACTCCATTTATTTTCTTAGACTTGGTTAAACAATACTTCGTGTTTTTCTTCCAATGTTACATCAGTGTTCGGTTGAAGGAGAATGCTAAGGATCATATATTATGATGCGGATGCAGAGAAGAAACCCCAACTACTGTATATTTACTACACCTGATATACCTTTCTAATTTAGTATTTCATGTATATTTTTATGACTATAAAGTCTTGCTTCAATCTCCATATTTCAGTTTTTATCTTAGTCTCAAGTTGTAATGTGTTTCCCTCATGTTTCATACTTTAATTTTGTGTTTACAGGTAGTTTGAATGCAGAATTTGCAATAGTTTTATTAATTTTTATTTTTATTTTTGTACAGTGAGACATTTTCAAGTTATCCCTCTTTATTTTTTGACAGTATTTGTAAGTGATGCTTCCTGGGGTTCCTGTAATAGACATTGATAAATAGTATAGTAACAAATTGTAATATTTTCTAAAATCTTTCCTCTCTTTCAACTTTCTCTCCTAACATCACCGGGGGAAAAGGCTGTAAGTTGACAGACATTGGTTCTCTTAAGTTAATTGCATGGTCCATTGTGGATGAGAATGTGCATAATCTTAGTTCTAGATAATAATACTAAATAAATTTGGAATTCTGAGATTGAACCACTAAGCATTGAGAAGCATGAATGTATCAAGGCTGAGGAGTCTGCAAGGTTCCGTCTTTTGTCCATCTGTGGTGAAATGTGTTCAGTATTGCTAGAGGCTGTAACATGTTGGCTGGTTGGTTTGGTGTTGGGTGACAGTAAGCTGTGTGATATGTGGAGTCATAGACCGCGAGTCATGATTTGTGCTGGAAATTAGTGTAAGCAGATCTCATTTTATTTTCTGTATCAAATAAGTGATACACCTAATTAAATTACTGTACTCCAAGTATGTAAGATAAAGATGTAAGTACAAGGGTTGAAGAAATAAAGTCAAGTTGATACAGTATAAAAAAAGTACTACCTTGATCATGGCACTCATTTGACAGCTAAACCAGAGGTACAGTCAAAATCAAAAGTTAACTGAAAATCCCCTTCCAGCATGTTTCTGTTCATCATGCATAGATAATCTCTACAACAATGGTTGACCTGCAAGTCCAGTCACAAAAAGACACCTCCACATGGAACAAGTGCTATCTTTGTTTTATGAACAGAAACATAATGCTGGCTGGGGATTTTGGGCAAACTTTTGATATTGTCAGTACAAAAAAAAATAATTGATCAGGTATAGGGCCCAAACAGTAGGGAAGAAAAGAGAGAGGAATAAATGGACTGTGAGAGAGTTTGTTGACTTGAATAAGTATACCTACAGTATACAGTACGAGAAGCAACAGGTTATTAAAAAGGGACATAGAAATCAGATAATTAAATAAAGTGATTTTATGAGTGATTGACTGTATGTATAATAAAATTAATAATAAAACATTACAAATAAGGGAATAGAACAAGTCAATGTGTGTGTGATGTAAAGTGAGGTGAATCCTATTAGAATGTCACCAAGAATTTTGTACTCACAGATATGCCCCTTTCTTCACTGGGAAGTGTAAATATGTAAATAAAAAACCCAGAGCCACAGTCTTCAGAAACTATGACAAGGATGCATGTACTGGGAAGTGAGGTCATAAAGAATGGAGAAGAGTATGTCAGGATCCTTGGGTATCAGTGGGTAGATAGAGCTTATAAAAAAGACAATATGAAGATGTTTATGATCAAGTTTAAAGTCTAGAAGATTGAGGATACCTGTGTGTGGTGGTCTGCTGTACATGTGCTAGGAAAGAGAACCGTTTGGAAAGTGGAAGTCTCGGTAGAAACGTTTACCTTTTACACACGGTTTCTACCACACTAATTGCACCATGGTTGACTTAAGACTAACCAATCTTCTACCTAAAATTGGTCTGTAGATAACATCTCATAATATTAGTTTTGTTGTGCATTTCCAAAATTCCTAAAGTAAAGCCTTTTGATGTTTTTATGCTCAAATTATATTTTTATGCTCAAGTTATATTCCACTTCTGTGGAATATAACTATGGCTATTCAAGACTAGTAACTTTATCTAATAGCTATAAGAAAATACTGTAGTCAATATCTATTTTACTATGACCCAATTTATCTACGAAAATACATTAATCAATATCTATTATGCCATAACCCAATATGTAATGGTTTACTCATAGAATATCTAGTATCTCATCCACAACACATCTCAACATTCATTCATGCCTGGTGGCCTTTTGTGTGTGTTTACTTTTAATTTACATACTGTACATTCTCACCATACACATACTGTTGGTCTGCCACTCCTAATACAAGTACCTGAACTTCAAATATCTCAGTTGCTCTTTGAAATGTACATCTTTTAACATATGCCTATTCCTAAGTCATCTTAACCAAACCCGCACCACGGCATCTCTTTGTTGTCTCGATTACTTTCATGCCCCTCAATTTTTTTTCTAGTTTCAGGCTCTACATAATTATATAGAACATTTGTCTGATTCATTTTCACTTTTTCTATAAGTACAGTACAGAATGTGCTTGTTCTATTTTTAATAACATTTAATGACACCACAAATGTAAGAACAATATTGTTAACTTTTTAATTTCAACTGAAACTTAAAAGTAAAATAGTTTTCAAAAGTTTAGATTGACAACATCTAAATTGCATTACTGTACTTCATAGCAACTTCAAGTTATACAAAAAACTGTTTGCAGTACAGTACAGTACTTTAATGTGTCAGGTTTGCCTAAGTTGGATGTTGTATTACAGTAAGTACTACACAAGTGAGATTTTGGGGTAACTCATTGTGTTTAAGACTACAGCACTATACGGTAGTACAGTACCTATTGTTGTTTTAATTTGACTTACTCATATTAAGTATCTTATATACTAGTTAATGAGGTAAATAAATCATTTCTTATTTAAAAGTGTTTAACTAGAAATGGCTCCACAGTCACCAACACAAGCAGAACTTTGTGTGTTAACTGGCTCAGTCCTTGGACATGTGCATATAACACAATACTGTACATTTTATCTTACAAAACAATTCACAACAATTTTCTGTCAAGCTTCTTTCATTTCAAATGAAAGGGAAATGTTGTATATATTTCAAATGACAAATCTAGTTAGGTGAGCAATGTTGAGTGTGTATTTTGCAGACATTGTTGATTACTTGTCTAGGACTAGTGTTCAAGGATTTGTGTTGAGTCTGGTCTTTCTTGTTTTCTTACAATTATAAATATCCCACAAAGACTCCAGCCTTACTATTTTGTTTTCTTTCTCACTCTCTCTAGACTAGTGTCTCTTGAAACTGCATCAAGCCCCTTACCTCACTGATGAAACAAAAACAAATTACTCACCCTCTCTCCAGTTTATTAGCAGCTTGCCAACCTTGAGCTCTTGTCATCCTTCACTACCATATGCCACTAGTGACATTTTTAAAAGTTATGCTCTTATCTTTTTGCCCATTTGGTTAAATTTCTTATTGGTTTGAGATTTATTTTGCTAATACTGAACCAGTTTTAACTACTGATTTTCATTTTTGATGTCTAATGGCCACAAGGCCAGTTTATAAGCTATTTTTAGTTAATGCTTTTAACATGTTGGAGTACACAATTATTTTACCCCACATAAAGGTGATAATTTACACAATCATATATCAGTTGCTTTCATACCCTTGTTAAGATGCAAGTCATTTTGCTGCACGACTTGGCTTTTGGGAAAAAATTAGGTTTTGATGAAAATTGTGTACAGTACACCCTCGATATTCACGGGGGGTTGGGTTCCTGGTACAAATGAACATGGGGAGGTGGGTAAATGTTTAAGAACAGTGACTATAATAAACACTGTGCCTATAAATAATAATAATCTACGGTACTGTAGAGATTTTAGTGTGTTTTTTACTCTTTGTTGATGATGATGATTTGAGGTCTTATGACAGCAGCAAGTGTACAAAATTTACATTTTAGAAAGTGTGCATCAAAATTTTAACCTCTTCTCTATGGGGATGCTACTTTTAATAGATTGTTTGATTAATCCTGGATAATTTTATTCAGCACAGAGAAACCTCCGAATACAAGGGATTAAAAACTTAATAGTCATCCATTATGATACATGAAATAGTATTACTCGCACCTTTTTCCACAGTTCCATATGTTTCTGTCTTAAAAGATTTAACTCATTAAAAATCTGTTAATATTAGAGATCGGGGGATGCGAATAGGGAGTTGGTATATATTTACTATACTAAATTGTGATTAAGCAGAATTGCAGAGTCCAAAAACCGTGAATATTGAGGGTCTACTGGAAATGTACAGTACCAGTGTTTATATTTTTTTTTAATTTTTAGGAAAATAAGATTGACAGCATATTGATTTGGTAGATAATAAGTGTTTCAAAGTAATAGCTGTAACTCCTTGTGCTTTTCTTCTCAGATCCTTTTATTGTCTCCAATGTGTTGTAGTGGATTTAGTTTTTTAGTTTACAGGACGCAGTAAACATCATAAGTTTTTACTGATTGTAGACTAAATTAGTTACCAGTCAAAAAGCCAATCCTAAGTGTGTGTAATTCTATTGGGAAAAATGGGTTTTAGTTTTGTATTACCGTAGTTTGATAACAGGTTATGTTAGGTTTGGGTATTAAGTTTTGGCTTCCAGTGGATGTGGTAAGCTTAGTGACAGCTGCTGGTGTGTATAGGTTGGTGCTTACATATAGATTGAACATAAGGAGTGGTAGTACTGTGTGTCCTATGCTAAACATGTATGATTGTCTGTTATTTTACAATTAGGTGCTCCAATATTCTGTATCTGCTCATATCTTTTCCTTATTGCAGTATCTCATTTTCACAAAGTTTCTCTAGTTGCATAGTTTCTGTCTTTTTAACTTTCACTTCTGAATGAAAATGTAATGAAACATTGCCTTTAAACTATTTCAGAATTACTGTATTTGTGGTTGAGTCTTTTAAACCCAAAAACATTAATTTTGATATATTTGAGGAAATATAACACGTATCTGTAGATATAATGAATGTAAGATTTCCTTCATCTAATTACTTACCTCTTGCAAGTGTTAGTGAGCTTGTTAGTTTTTATTTTAATTTTTCCACTTGTAAGACTTTTCCAGCTAATGACCCAGAGTGGCTGGAATCAAGATCAGTTTAGTTTAACAAATTTATTGGCAGAGCTTGTAGTACAGTTTGCCTATTCTGAGTAATTCAGTCAGGTCTTGACACTGAGGGTGGTCAAGATCAGATACAATCTCTCCCATTGTTTTTTCCTGTCATTTGTTCTTTCCCACTTTCATATCCTCAACTTCTTCATATAGTGAATGACCATTGTAACTAACATGCTTAACATCACTCCAGCTTGGCTAATAACCTATATGCTCATTCCTCCCCACACCTGCGTTCCTTAGAGATAACTAGAAGACGGTGACAACGGCTGTGCTCCCCAATCTGCCTCGGCTACAAGGCATTGCAGTTTTGTCTATCTGGTTCCTAATGCTGCATCATTAGATCGTGGCCTGTTTCCTTGTGCATCATGTGTCTGACCCACTAATTTGATATGTGAATAGAAAATATAAATTGTACTAAAGCATGAAAATTTGTTTTTATAGATATCAGATAAGCTGTGGTAAAATTTGGTTAAATGCGAGCTAAGGATTACAGTACAGGTTGTACCTCTCTAGTCCGGCAACCTCGGGACCTGACCGGTGCTGGACCATGGAAATTCACCCTTTTCCTGGATAGATAGTGACTTGTGCTTATGCTTGGAAGCACTAGCACCACTTTCTCTGCATCATGGTCTCTTTGAAGACATATTGAAGGGTTAAATGTCGTATAGTAGCTTCTCAAATTTTGCGAATTTTTAATTCTTAACGTATTTTATTGGAACACACAAAAAAATAAAAATTTTGGCGGCGGAAACTTGAATTTCGACGGGTGTGAACGGCTCGCCAACGTGTAGACGACGTGCATAATCGTGTAAACAGCGTCATTTCTCTTATGTACAAAAGATTCATTATTGTTTATTACTGAATGTCTTTTTTATTGAATTCATGTTTATGTGTGCAAAATGAGCAATACAATTCATTAATAATACGTAGAATATTAAAACACACGAAGAAATGACACAGCATTGTTTTCGTTGATTACAAAACCAGTGACTGACTGGTTCTACATATAAAACTGAAGAAAATAATACCTTGGTTGTAGCTGTAGTAAAATTAATATGGTTGTTTTAAGTAATGTTATTTAATGTTAATAAATGGAACAATAGAAGTAGCTAACGATAATGGTAATGAAAAAAGAGAGATCGCATATGTAAGTGCGCATGCTCACATGTGAAAACATATCGTCATTACTTTACATAAGAATATGAAAGCAACACTTATTTACTGTTCATATATATTTTAATTAATGTTTCTGAATTTGTTTTTATTGAATTAATGTATGTGTGTGCAAAATTAACAATACAATTTATTAATAATACGTGGAATATTAGAGGAGACGAGACGGCTGCCGGCATTGTTTATGTTAAAGCTTACGAAACCAGTGACTGATTGGTTCTACATATAAAACTGAAGAAAATAAGACCCTGATTTTAGCTGTAGTAAAATTAATGTAAAAAAATTAATATGGTTGTTTGAAGTACCTGTAATGTTATTTAATGTTAATAAATGGAACAATATAAGTAGCTAACCATTAATGGTAAAAAAAAAGTGAGACTGCGCGTATGTAAGTGCGCACATGTGAAAACATATCGTCATTACTCTACATAAGAATATGAAAGCAACACTTATTTACTGCTCATATATATTGAAGGGTTAAATGTTGTACTTTGTATAGACAAGCAGAGAGAGAGAGAGAGCAGCCGAACTGCCGGATGTAAACAAACCTTAATTTCCCGCGGCTTTTTTTTTTTTAAGGGGATTAGCCCACCCGGGCATAGGTCACTGACCCACATTGGGGCCTGAGGGGCAAAAATTTAATACTCCTGTAATAATAATAATAATTCAGATAAAAAAAAAAAAAAAAAAAAAAAGCTGCCTATCTACCTATTGGACAAACTAAAATCGTTCCGGACCACGGGAGTTTCCGGACCACAGAATGCCGGACTAGAGAGGTACAACCTGTACTAGATTTATGATAGGTTTGATAAAGATTAATGTACTTGAAGGTGCTGATGGGGTTTACTGTATTAATCACAGGTGCTGATAAGGACTAATTGATTTATCATAGGTACTGGTAAAGATTATTAGATAGATGGTATACCTGTATATAAAAGTTGCTTAGCAAATTTTGAAAGGTTATTATAGGAGATCTTGGTAAATATACTTTCCTGGGACTATAATTGATGAAGCAATGGGGAAAAATGCTGTGCTCAAGCATTAAATTCCTGTATTTGTTTTAAAAAATTACTGCTCTCAACAACCGATAATTTATCCATTTATCATCACTGTTATTTTAATTAAGCACAGACCACCAAGAAATTTTGTACTGGCTTTTCTGGGTGATTCATTTTGTATGTACTGTACAGTATTATCCTAAATTTTTTGTTGGTAATACTTTTTTGTAAGTGGCAAGAGAGATATTCTTGTTGATTTATCAATTTCATGGGAAAGTAGTCTTTACATTTATACAGGTAATGTAATTGTAGATTTAAAGGATAAAGAAAGAGAGGACAGTATACAAAAAGAATAGAAAGTCTTTGGCCAGAAAGATGCTAATTTAGACACAATATTGTGTTTTTTTTTGTTTTTTAATTGATGGAAAGTCTTAGGCCTAACTTTTAAGAATTTAGACACATTATTTTGAATTTTTGTTTATTAATATTGGTCCTGCTTCTCCCAGATTGAGAAACCAGTCACTGCCGGACTTTCACACAATACTCGAGATCAGTGGGAGATTGACAGATCATCCCTCAAGTTTGTACGTAAACTGGGCCATGGACAGTTTGGGGAAGTATGGGAAGGTCTCTGGAATAACACCACACCTGTTGCTATCAAGACTCTTAAACCAGGTAAGTTAGGTGGTCTCTAGGATATCACTGATGATTCTGTGCAGTTCATGTAGTTGTCATACATAATGTTTAGGTAATATGGTAATATTGATTTATAGTTTGTTGCTTAATTATACCCTTTTCTCTCTGTATTGTGGGCACATTAAATATTTCAGGACAGTTATAGGTGATCTCATTTCAAACCTTTTGACTCCAAATTAAGCCATTCCACCACATTGCATATATCTTGGGATAGATAAAAGTTGGATATGCCATATTTATTGCTTTTTAGTTATTGACATTTATGTGTGGAAGTGGAGAATGACAAACATGAGTCTCACTGTCCATTAATTATTATGAAACAATTAAGCAGTGTTGGGGCCTTCAAGAACTGTCTCATTGCACAAAACTCAATCAGATGAATTTATGTTAACTAATGTGAACCTCAATGCACCTGTTTCTTTTCCTTTCTTTACAGTTAGATTATGGTTGATTACTAGGTATAAGATTATTTTAAATTGATATTATTAGCAGCATTTGTTATTGTTTATTTGAAACCACCAGCAGGTGCTAGTTACCTATGTCATCTTGGCAGAACTAGTGTCATCATTCAACATGTGATATATAAAGTAATCTCCCTGTTAGCTGGGACAATTGGTGCAGTGTTTCTGGGTTTGAGAGATTTCATTGAGATAAATTCTCTTATCCCAGAAAAAATGACATATTGGGGAATTTTCCCCAGGCACTGGTAAATTTTTCCATGTCTAAACAACGCATCTACCATGGAGCACCGTTGCAGTCAGACACACACAGAGCCATAATTATTTGTGCGAACACTTCTGTACACGTACACTACAGTAAACTCCCTTTATTACTCTCCTATTACATTAGGCTGCAGCCACGAGCAAAATTTTTTACAGCTAATTGTGTTCAAAAGGTGAAGTTGGTACAACAACTGCCAGGTGTATGAAAGGTCCTGGCAACACCAGCCACTCAGGGGCTTGCCAAGTACACTCTTGCTAAGTTGCAAAGTGTATGAGAGACCAAGGAAAAATAAAAAAAAATTCCCACCAATGTTAAAACCCTAGTTAGTTAGTTTAACAAATTTATTGACAAAGCTTGGAGTACAGTTTGCCTATTCTGAGTAATTCAGTCAGGTTTTGACAGAGGGTGGTATCACTTCTCACTGCCACACAGGACAGAGGTTCATTCACAAAGAAATACAACATATTCATTAACAGCTATATATATAGAGGTCAGATTCATGTGGGTAATGTCACTGTTCACTGCCATGCAGGACAGAGGTTCGTACACCCTAAGTGGCTAAAAAAAAAATCTTACGGCGTATAAAAACCCTGAGAGTGTAAGGTCTAGGCTAGAAATTACAGTAGGTGCAGTGTTCGTAGGCAGCTTGGCTCTGAAATCCCTCACACCTGTAATTTTCCACCCTGCAATATAATAAGGATTATGCAGTTGTGTTGTGGAGATGAAGGGGATCACACTTTTGATATGCTTTCAGCAAATTCAGAGATATTTTTTACTAACATTGTATGAAAGAAAGAACACCTTTTTTTGTACACGGGTACAGTACAGTAGTTTATAAATCAGTGAGAGATAAGGGAAGCAGTATGTACATACTCATGAAGAGGAAGGCCTGGTGGGTGGTGGCTGGCCTGCATCAACTCACTCGCACACACATACGTACACATGATCACCAACACACACGTACACACGATGACCACCAACACCACAACGTGCCACACTGCCAATGAAATTACTTTACTTTATTCTCTTTGCCACAATTACTTCACCACCACAACCACTTCCCCACCACCACAATCACTTCACCACTTACACACATGCTTGGCTCACACGCTGTGCTTAATTTTTTCACTTATTAAATTATGGATGTCCTTTTCAACTAATTAGTAAATGTTGTTTTAATAAGAAAAAATATTAAGTCAGTTATATTTTCTAAAAAAATATAGTCATGAAAATAATTTTCTTACCTTATCCTATGATGATTATGACTGAACGCAGCGTGGCTATGTTGTTGTGATGCGGGCTGGGCTGGCAGACCACGTGGTCCATGCTGCGCCACTCCACAATAACAATGACCCTCATGATTGGCAAAATATTTTTTCAAATTTGAAAAAAAAAAATAATTCCAAGATTCATGTCACATGACAGTAATAGAAAATCACAGCTCTTGAGCACTGAGCCTATGCATCCATGTGCCCAGCATGTGATGCAATTGCTAGGAAATTCTTTTGAATGCCCGGAATGGAGATACTTTTCTCGGAATGCTAAAATTTTGTTTTCTGGCTAATGGAAGGTTTCATCTAATTATTGTATTGGTAAAAAAAAATTATTTTCAGTCAAATTATTAAAAATTTTGGGAATAGAGTTCAGTACTGATATCTCCACCATACAACGTATTGGATATAAAAGGGGCTGCACTGTTAAGTCTTTTCCATTCCCGAGCTTGAGAAAGGATTCATGAAATAAGATAATTAGCAACATCTTATTATGGCCATCTAGCCAAAATTTGATAATCAGTATATCCAACTTTATTACCAAGTTTTGGCCAAAATTTTACATGGAAATTGTGACAAGAGAGCAGTTATATTCAGTGATGGATCAGCTTTAAAATAATTATTTTATTTTTTATTTTTTTGTACGTGTGAGAAATGCTGATTTTTAATTTTGGGGGTTGATCATTAAATGAAGCATTTTTTTTTTATTTTTTTATTTTTTTTATTGTCTTAAAGTTAATCATTCAATTTTTTTTAGGTACTATGGACCCTAAGGACTTCCTGGCAGAAGCTCAGATCATGAAAAAGCTGCGGCACCAAAAACTCATTCAGTTGTATGCGGTATGCACTCTAGAGGAACCCATTTACATCATCACCGAGCTTATGAAGAATGGATCCTTACTAGAATATCTCCAGGGTGTGTTTGTGCTGCACTGTTGAATGGAATTCTGAATTAGTAGTATTTTTTGTTTTTGTGGTTGTAATATACAGGTACTCCCTGACTTACGACCAACTCGACTTACATCCACCCGCACTTACGACCGCCTCAGTCGTACCAAAATGTGGTCAAATTGTGTATTTTTGAGTCCCAAAGTCAGTACATAGACAAAATTTTCATCTGTAATTCACTTTAAAATGGCTGGCAAGCTTAAAAGTGAGTGTTTTGTGGTGCTGAGAAGAAAAAGAGACCCAAATTTTTTATTTTCTATGTGTTATTTAAGCATTTCCGACTTACAACCTGGATGTCGGTCCCTAACCCCGCCGTAAGTCGGGGAGTACCTGTACAGGTTTTGAATTGATGAATTATGGCATGCCATGGTTTGGAGATAAAATATACATTTATTCCCCTACAGGTAAGGGCAGAGGGTTGAAGTTGAACAGTTTGATTGACATGGCAGCACAGATTGCAGCAGGTATGGCATATCTAGAATCACAAAACTACATCCACCGTGATTTAGCTGCAAGAAACGTCTTGGTAGGAGACAGCAATATTGTCAAGATTGCTGACTTTGGCCTTGCTCGGCTAATTAAGGTGAGTTGGATTTTTTTTTTTTTTTTTTTTTATAAATCATGGGCATTGATAATTTTTATTTTAAATATTTAATTTCTTGATTTACAGATACAGTAGAACGTCGATTTAAAGCGATTCAATTTAAGATTATTCATTTAAAGCGTCACCCACAATTAAGGACAATGTTTTAATTTAAAGTGAATCTTTCCTATTTTGTGCGAGTCAATCTGGCGCATCATATTTTAAAATTTGTGCCTAATGTTTCTCTGGGCACGCTACACTGCCCTAAGGGCAAAGCTGTACTGTACATGTACTCAAGATAATGTACTAAATGATTACTAAAATTTTTGTCTAGTGCAAACTATAGCATGATTATATTCAAATTAATCTCTATCTTATAAGAATTCCAGCAATCTAAATTATAGTCTCCCCAGTCACTTCTGTGACATTTTATAACAAAACACAAAAACTCAATCTAAAGGACATAAATAAACAAATAAACACTTCACTAGACCTTCGGCCCCAACTGTCAAACGTGTCACTGTCACCTTTCCAGCCAGGGTTGGGTGGTTATAGGCTTACAGTTTTTATCTTATATAAAATCACAGTCTAAAGTTAGGAGAATATAATTTGCTCGAATCCTTGAAAGACAGCGAATAATTTGAATATAAACGTCATATATTTTGCACATGAGATAAAAAATTTAGTCCTTTGTAATAAAATTAGTTAAAACTAAAATTTATATGTCTAGTGCGAACTATAGCATGTATATATTCAAACTAATCACTATCTTATAAGAATTCCAGCAATGTTAATTATATTCTCCCAGGTCAGTTCAGTAAAATTTTATACGAGAAAAACTTAAGTCACTCTTAAGGACAGATAAATAAATAAGCAATAGACCTTGGCATCAACTATCAAACATATCACCTCAACTCCCTCCTCCTCCCCCCCCATCTTCCCAGCCAGTAAACAGATCATTTCCCATCCCTTAATTTTAGCTGTGTTGATTCATGAGTGTTTCTTTTAACATAATACTACAAAAAACAATGTTTTGCTTATTCTAGGAGATGGGCTTAGGTGCATCTGGGTAGACTGTCAGTCTTTTTAGTATTTTGTGTTTCTCTTAAGTACCAAACAAAATTATTCCATTGAAACAACACTTCGATTTAGTGCGAATTCGGTTTAACAGTTTAAAGCGACCTCTCTTGGAACTTATCTCGCCGGACATCAACACAGGGAAAAAGTATCCATATGACATATATACTTGTATAAACAGTGAAGGGGCACTTTTGACTGAAAAAATAATTTATTGATTAAATGCAAATTATTTTCAGTTAAACTTGGTTTTGGGAAAATTTTCTAATACAATGGCCTTTCGATTAACGAACACAATTGGTTTTACAGAGTCAGTTGTTAACCGAAAATTTCGTTAACTGAATCTATTATTTCAATGGGATGTTGGGTAATTGGTTCCAACTCGGAAAAAGTATACCTTGTACATACAAAGTACTGTATACCATTAGTAGAGTTAACAAAACATTAAATATAAACTAAATGCAGTACTGTACTGTACAATAATAAATAAAAAACAATAGAATACTGTATTTTAACTTACTTTGAGGTGTGTATGTCTTATTCCTGGCAGCTTTGTTTACATATCAAACAGCTGATTGTAGAGGCATTCGATGATGACATTCCATATTCTTTACAGAGTGCATTGGTTCTAATGCCTTCTTCATGTTTCATAATTATTTCTGCACTGTATATTATCAATATATTAACTAAATTTCAGAATGACCAATAATTTTAATGTAAAAATGCAAAAATATTCAAGAGACCAACAAACTCGATGTTCACTCCATTGTAAACAAAGTTAAACTGAGAAGCATTGGTGGGTGATTTGATCAGCTGAAGGGCACACAAAAACTGCTCCCTGTATTGTATTTATTATCAATATGTTAACTAAATTTTAGAATGACCAATAATTTTAATATAAAAAATGCAATAATATTCAAGAGCACAACTTTCTCGATATTTACTCCACTGGAAACGAATGTAAACATAGAACCAATTACTGTACTGTATTGGCGGACTAGTCGATCAGCTGATGCGCACAACAAAGCGTGTCTCTCGTAAGGCTGTCATTAATTGAAGCTTTGTTCACTAATGGAACTGAAAATCCTTATGGGAGCTAATTTGTTAACCAAAATTTTGTTAATTGAACCGTTCGTTAATCAAGGGACCACTGTATTTAAAGATGGAGTTGCAAATTTTAGATATGCAGTACCGGTAATAGTGAAGGTATATTTCGTACGTTTACTTTCAGTAACAACTAGTGGTAATAATTCTTGGATGTGCAATTCAGAAGTTTCATAAAGAAGGGAGGTAAACCGAGATGGGCATTGACTTTGAACCGTTATATGGACAGTACTTTCCTTCTTTGGATTTTTATTGAGACGTTGGATCCCAGATGATGTACAGTAGTGATCCCTGGTGCTATACAGTACCTGTACATTGGAGGTGTTTCCTAAATTTAGGTAGCGACCCAGAAATCTTGTGTGTGCTCCTGGCTAAAACAAACCATATATATTTTTCTCCTATTAGATCATGTAGGTGCTCAAATACCTGTTTATTTTCATTTTATTTTTATTTTTCTTATAAATCTGTTCAGTTTATACAGTTTTTATACATCTGTTGCCTAAGTTGACCCTAAGATGGGACACTGCAGAAGGCTCTAGTCTATAGGATGTGCAGAATAATTTAGGTATTCCAGATAATTGATTTTTGTCATATCTTGCCATACAGTAGCAGGCTTTGGGTTCAAAGGCTTATATCCCTCGTTATCTGAATGGGTTGGGTTCATTGAAAACCATTTGGAAATTAAATTTTTGGATAGTGAATAACAGAACAAGTGGGGAAAATAGGATACAGGTCCCCAACGACAAGAGAACCCAGTATTATACTTAAAAAAAATTAAATCGGTTTATGAATAACCCCCCAAAAAATTCCTAACTACAGTACTGTAATTTAGTACCAGACAACTGTACGGTAATTGCTCAACTAAATAAAATATACTGTCCAGTTGGTACATTACCTCATTGGAGTGCAGTCAGGGCTCACCACAGGGTGGTTTGAATTTTTGCTTAGACCATCTTTCAGATAAGTGAGAATCACTTTGGGGTAGTGAAAATGGGATGTAAGGATAAAATTTTCAGGACAGCAAATTTTTGAATAATAAACATTCAGATAATGAGGGATACCTGTACAGGTATATGTTTTCCATTATAAGAACACACTAACCTTTATGTCTATAGATATTATTTTTATACTGTATACAGACCAGTAAATCTTGGAAAGTATTGATTATAACTAATCATACAATGTATTCCATCTTTCTCATGTTACTTATTTTTCACTTTCTGTAAGTATTTATTTTCATATCGCTCAGACTTTCATCGTGTCTATTACTCCTCACCACACACCCACTCTTACTTGCTTTCAGTTTTTCATTGCATTGTATACCTTCAAATTCCAATTTTTTTTAACTTTCTCAGTTTCCTCTTTTAATGTTCTTGGAATATTTGAATACAGGTATTTTTTTCAATGCAACTTCTGTACCTATGAACTGTATTTAGACACACACACACATTTTTTTGCCATAAGGTAATGCCTCCACTTACTTCCTTGTACATTTGTTCTTATAGATCCACATTGCAGAGTATTAGTGGTATGGGTGATACCTCACTTGTCTGCTCTTGATACAGTATTTTTGTTTCATCACAACAACTTTTGTTTTACATGTTATACCTGTACTTGCATTTTGGATTCATGTAGATGTATTGATTGTATAGGCTAAAGGCCATAGGTCAACTTGCACCTGACCCAAAAGACAAAAAACAAAACAATAAATTTATATATATATATATATATATATATATATATATATATATATATATATATATATATATATATATATATATATATACTGTATATATATATATATTTTTTGCATTTCTAGGTGTATTGTGTTCTTGAGCATGAGGTTAATGCAGTAGTCATTTTACTCATAAACATTAAGCTTATGTCTTAAAGATGATTCAATCTTTAAAGCAATTTTACTGTACTATATGCATAAAATTTTCTATATTTTAAAACTCCTGACATACAGTTCACACTTAGTTCCATCCTTTGCTCTAAAACATTTATTTGCTACGTACAGTTGGGGAATAATATAGCGCTCCACATTGCTGTGGCCAGTGGAGACATCTGGCATCTCTCGTAGAGGTAAACAGGGCTCGAAGTTAACTCTTATGAAGGAACAGGGCTTAGATTGTAGCAAGTATTCATCCAAATAGCACCCTCACTACAATCCAAGAAAGGTTCATTTATGCCCTGTTTACTATTAGGAGAGTTGCCAGATATCTCCACAAGCCAGCGCAATGTGGGGCAGAACATTATTCCCCAACTGTACATTGGGAGTTATGGCCTTAATAATGCCTTATTATATATATTCTAGATCATAGCCTTTTTCACTGTTCCATCAGAAACAACATTTTCTTTTCTTGCAAAAAATAACAGATTTGTGTAATTTTTTTATTTGAATTATTTTATTCCTGTATCATAATTGTAATTTTCCACATATACTGTAGACCAAGATTATGTTCACAGAATTGTGGCTCTTTAATTCATATATTGACCATATTTTTGCCCCTTTGTTGTTGAACCTCCAACACAAATATTCAGAATATTGGCCAAGAGTTTCTGCGTGTAGATTAAACTCACATACCTTAAGCAACTGTTTGTTTTTTATACTTAGAAAAAAAGGAAGTGTAATGTCACCGATCATTTCCTTGGCAAAGATATAAGATTAGTAGAAGTAAGCAGGAGAGACAGAAAGGGGAAAAGTGAAGGAACAATATAAAGAAACAGAAATTGTAGGGAAATTTTAGGAAAATAAAATATGAAGGATTAGTGAACAGGGAAATAACATTCTGCTAAGGATTACAAAAAGAGTTTTAAATATGTAGAACAGATTTGTGTTGTGATTATGACCAAATGACATTGCTTATAACTTCAGGAGCCATGACTACTTTTTTCTAGTACAGTATAATACATATTTCAGAATAACCACAACTCCCTGTAATTAGAATTTTAATTACCCTGATCTTGCCTTGAAATATATCATGGCAGTTTGATAGTATTTTACTACAGTCCCCTCAAATGATTTTGAGCAAGTTCAGAACACATAGGTGACTGCTTTTGATTTATATTAATAAAAATAGCTTTATTCTGTACTACATCATTTGAAGTAATATTAAGTGGTCAGTTATTATACATGTACAAAATCAATTATTATTTTACTAAGTTTGCTTTATCACAATTCTTAGTTTCATTAAAGTTTTCTAATATATTTTGTAGCATGAATATCGTAGAATTAAAAATTCACCCAAATTCTCAGACTACAAATTGGATGTTTACTGAAATATAGCAAGTATCTCAAAATTGTCCATCTTCACTGAAAAGTTTAATGTAAACAACTGTAATACCGGTATACTTTGGGGGGGGGGGGTGGGAGAGTTGTTTAATACTTTACTTTTGTATGGATCATGAGTATTGGTTTAATAATGGAGTAGTTTGACCATGTATGCTATAAAGGATACTTGATCTCTAAATCTGCATTATTCATAGAGTTCTGTGTGATTGAAGCCAAAGTTGTGCAGTATTTGTTTGTTGGAGTTAACAGGTTGCAGTCTGGAAAGTTTTGGGCTTAGCATTAATTTTTATCATCTGTGCAGTAACAAAAATCAAGTGTGTAAGTGTTCAAAAGCCTACTTTTTAAAGTAATCAGGATTTTGAATAGATTTTTTCCTATATCATAGCTTAGGTGGTTGATAAAGATAATATGTAAAGTGTTCATCTACTAACATTTTTAAGAAATTGGTTTCCTTACAGTAGGTGGTTTAAAAAACGTAATGTTTTCTGTGTTCAGAAGTCAACTTATAGAATGTGGAAATCTTTTTAAGGTATTGGCTTCTTTACAGTAGGTGGCTTCTCTAGCCTCTTTCAAAACTTTAAAATGGGAAAGTGATTATGACAGAGCCCCATGTAATATACAAGTGTCTTGAGTACTGTTGAATTGTTGCATTTTTATTATTATTATTTCTTTGTTTTATGAGTCCATGGAGTAACCCACTGTTCTTCTTTCTATTCTTCCTATCTTTAAGAATAAGGTAAGAACAATTTGTGTTTCCTTGCCCACAGCTCTGAGTCCCCAATTACTCTAGCCTACGTACCTGTGTGTGTGTGTCCAGACAAGCATCCTTAAAAGTACTTTATTTCTCCGTTGGAGGATGATAAAGATTTGACTGTCAATCATCAGAAAAAGATGGAAGTGATGTTTTGTACAGTAAAACATGCTATTGGAAGTTGTAGTAATAAAATTTTCTCTAATAATTTGCTGTAGCATAATTATTTGTATATACAGTAATATGGTGTAGGTTTCACTATACACGATTGGGATTGTCGTTGAGCCCATGTTTGGAGTAACATATAATGTCAAAATGGATTAACACTAAAACAAGACTTGGAAGGTCTCTGGTATTCGATTGACATTGATAACTTAAGTTGTGATTGTACTACACACTTTATTGTTTAGGGAATCTTTTCTGTTTTGTTGATGTATCTATTGCTAAAAGAAGCTGACTAATTTGAGTCACGGAGAACAAATTTTTTTCTTTTGAACTTTTCTTTTTTAACATTGTGTTATTTAAAGATATAACTTCAAAGGGTCAAGTAAGATATCTGATGGACTATTTTCATCCTCCAGTGAAGATTTTCACCTGCAATTAGTGTGACCTTGTAATTGCTGTGGATTTATTTTTATTGTTCTCTGGCATGAGGTTTTGTGTATTGCAGTTACCTCCACTACTTAGTACTTGCCCACATATGTGTCTTAGTGATCATCGTATTACATAAAAGCTTCCTAAATCACCATTGCCTTTTGGCACACCACAGCCCCAGTTAAATATAAACCTGAGAGTGTTGTTGTTACTGTGTAAAGACCGCTAAAATATCATGTGAGAATGAAGGTAATGTATAATTACAAATTTGCATTGTTGGATATTTGGTGAAGAACTTAAGTTTGATCAGTCTTAATTATAAGTGTTAGAGCTTGAAGGATTTCAACATTTAGACAAACTGTTTCTTGTAGTTTATGGTTGGTAACTATCAGTACCTTGAAGCCCTTACAAGATAGCTCTGATGCCATTTTATAAGTAATTTCTTCATTCACTGATTATGCTATAAACTGCAGGAGAAGCTACTGTCAAATGGAAGCTTTACTGTGAAAGAAAATAATTATTACAATATTTGATGCCTAACCAGTTACATTCTTTGAAGATAGAAGACATTCGTGGTTGTCCATCATGTTATCGCACCTGCTTTTATATGATAGGGCATTATATGCTTGCATTGATGTGTGCTGAGCAAAATCCTTGCTAGGGGGTTGCCATCCCACTAGTTGTGAGAACCAGCATAAAGGATATTAGTTTAATTTACACCAGTATATTCTTCCAAACATGCAATTTATTAAGTGTTCTTCAGGTGAACTTGAGATTTTTTAGATTTTCCATAAAAAAATTACAATAGTACAGTATACTCTTTCTCCTGTCACAAAATTGTGAAGTCTTACATTTTAATGTAAACTGTTCTTTTGGTGACAAGTTCAGTTATTATATGTCTCAATGAATTTATGAACTTCTGGCTCCATTTTCTGGAAAAAAAATTTAAGAGGAAAAATAAATACATTGAGAATTTAGCAACAGTAGTGTCAGTAATGTTTTAAAACACAGTTAGGAAGGAATACAGTAATGTAAAAAATAATTGGTTTGTAATTGAAGAAAAATTTGTGAAATGAATTTGTAGATTTTTTTCTCACCGGGGAATAGCCCACCCGGGCACAAGTCATTGGCCCACAATGTGGCCTGGGAGGTGGGGGGGGGTGAAGTAAAAAGAAATTAAAAATAGAAAAGAAAAAGATTATATTAATCTCCACCACAAAGATGCTGGAAAACCATCTTTTTGAAGTGAGACAGTGTGTGTGTGTATGGAAACACAGAAGAAGGCAGAGCATTCCACAGTTTGGCTGTGTGAGGAAAGAAGGATGTACAGTATTATGACGGGTTATTCTAGTGTGACCGACATCTCAGAGAAACGGTGGGCACTACGGGCAAGATGAGTGTTTCAAGCCCACAGCCTTGCCGGCAGTACACAGGAAGCCAAATCCACCGACCATTGCCCGTTAAAGTATCTGTAAAAGGGAGAAAGTGAAGCAACACTGAGCCGAAGAGAAATGGAAGAAAGAATATCGACTAAAGGAGGAGAGTTAATAAGACGAAAAGCCACCCCAGATATGAGAGCAGTACTCCAAGTTAGGATGAATATATACTTGAAGCAACTGTTCAGGAGTCAAGTAGCTACGGCATCTGTACAGCATTCTCAGCTTTCGGGAGGTAGCTTTATCATTGTTGAGGATGTGTGGCTTCCCTGACATATTAGACAAAATGGTGAGGCATAGAGTATCTATTTTAGAATTTGGCTGAATGATTGTATCCTGAAATGTGATTGGTGGGAGATCTAATTTGGAAAGTGTAATTGGTAAATACTGAGTTTTATTACTATTGAATTTAACCCAGTTTCTAGGAGATAGTGCACAGATCCGGCATTGATAGATGTAATGATATCAGCTCTGGAAACATCTTGTTTGAGAATTAGAGGAAGGGGAAAATGTGAAGAAGAGTGAAGAGTAGAATCATCAGCGCAAGAATGGATAGAATTAGTCATAGTGTGAAATAAATCATTGATAAAAAGAAGGAAGAGAGTAGGTGAAAGAACAGAACCCTGTGGGACACCACTATTGATAGAGAGAGAGAGAGAGATCCCTAGATGACAACTGCCATGGATTAGTTCTCAAGGAAGCAAGAAATTCAGAGCAGAGTGGGTTCGAGAAACCATAAGAGGGAGGTATAGAAAGCAAAGTCTTGTGCCATACCCTGTCAAATGCTTTGGAGATGTTGAAGGCCACGACAAAAGTTTCCCCATAATCCCTAAGAGAAGATGACCAAAGATGGGTGCAGTAGGAGAGCAGAACACCAGTAGATCTCGCCTGGCGAAAGCCTGGCGAAAGCCATACTGGTGATCCGACAAAAAAGAATAGCGTTCAAAGTGGCCGAGAAAATGAGAGTTTAAGATAGTTTCGAAAATCTTAGAGAGGGATGAAGCTGGGGCAATGGGGCGATAGAGGGATTGGACTGGTAACCCTACTTCGGGATGGCCTGAACCGAGGCATGCTTTCAAGAAGAAGGAAAAGTTTGGGTTTTGAGGCAAAGGCGAAAGAGGCGAGCAAGCACAGAGGCCGGAACTTCAGCATACTCCCTCAGAACACGAGGGGGTATTCCGTCCGGTCCATGCGCTTTACTAACATCCAACATGGATAACACACGAGCAACCCTACGAGTGGAGATTATAGGAAAGTGCATAGGTTCAGTAGGAGGGATAGAGTTGGAATCGTCTTAGGTGGAGTTAGAGGAGAGTAAGGTGCCAAAGAGATTGGCTTTATCAGGGGGAGAGTTAGCTATAGAGTTATTAGGGCAGAATTTATTACAGATGTTTTTGGTTCAGGACCAGAAGGGTTTACTAGAAGAAGAGTTAGTCAGGACAGCCGTCTTTCTATTTATAAAATGCCGCTTGGCCCTTCGAAGAAGAGCCTTACAATGATTCCTAGAAATAATGAAAGAGGAGTGGGTGATAGGAGGAGATTGTTTCATAAGTTGACATGCCCTATTGCTTGTGCTTAAGTATTAGTTGTGTGTGTATAGTTATCATGATGGCGATTCATTCTATTACTAAGGAGAAAAGTTCCAGTCAAGTGATAAGACACTTCTTTGTTCAAGACGGAAATGGTGTGTTCTGTTGGTGTTCCTTACATTATTTAAGTAAAAATTCTGGGGAGCTAGTATAGTACAGTAAACCCCCCCCCCCCACCCCCCTTGCCCAGCAAGATCTAGGGGTACAGTAGGCAAACCCAGGATAAAGGAGCATGTAACAAGTGTGGGAATGAGTAAGAAAAGCATAATGTGTCATAACAGTTTTTTATTTTTCGAAGTTTATCTATAATTTTCAGTTTGTCTGTTGAACAAAGAGATTTATATTTTCCTCTGACTTTTCCTTTCCCATTTTTCCTGATTTGAGCTCATCATTAATTAGCAAGGATAATGGGACTGCAGGGTATACTGAGAATGACTAACAACTGATATTTACAGCAGTGTTTTTAAATGCCTACTGGCTTCCTGTGAGTGGCAGCGCTGCAACTGGAATTTTGGCCAAATTCGGCTATATTCGAATCAGGATGATATAATTCAAACTTAGACGAGTTCTTAGAAATATAGATAACCTGTTCAAACTTGAAATTTGTTTGAATTTGGTCAAGGTTGTAATAGCTGAGTTCAAGACAATGAGGTTCTATTGTACAAAACACATTCACAGTCAACTGTCGCCTCTGATGTATTTTACTAAAACAAGTTTCCCACCACACTTGCTTCTATTAAGTGACTTGCTTAATATAATAGTGATGTGGGATTAAAACAACTTTGATTGCTGTGATCTATCAGCGTATTACTTACTAATATCTTTATAATTATACAGTAATGTACTGTGTTATTTCATTGCCAAGTTTCTATGAATGTCATTTACAGTAACCATCCATTTTTTCATATTTTCCTATAATATCAAAGAATGAAATTATAGAAGTGAAAAGTTATATTACTGTACCTGTATACAATGCAGTATTACAGTATTGTATAGGAACCATGTGGCTGCATCTACCACATGTGGTGCTGTGCTGTCTAGTCTCTCCTCTACAGTAATGAGAAGATAAATGTTAAAAACACCGTGCAGTTTTGTGCTTATTATGGTATTAACATTTGATACGGTCACGAAGCAAAACCACTGTGCTATATTGGAAAAGGGGCTGAATATTTCCTTCATTTTACTCCACAATGATCACCTTACATTGTGGTACGTACTGTAAATTGTACATTGTGCAGTACAGTATCTCTAATTTTTTTTATTGGCTGATAATTTTACTCTTCCAACTTTATCTATATTCTCTCTGATACAGATATGATAGATTCTGTTTGATGTGTAAGCTTTTCACTATATTGGAATTAGGGTT